GGTGGTTGGAATGTTGAACTTAACCCTTTATTTCGCTCACTGGGGTAGACTGTTCTAGTTCCATGTGCCATGTTTTAATGGATGTCAGTTATCAGTTATCTCCTGTTAATTTCCCTCTGAAAGTTCTCCACTGCCTTAACCCGGTATTGAACTCACACTCTTTGAGTCCTGTCACTGGATCTAACCTTTATCCACTGTGAAATGTGACAAAGATGAAGACAATAGTCCGAATAATGTAAATAATGTACATAATACCTCATCTCAGAAATATAGACAGATGATAGATTTTTCTTTTATAGAAATTAAAAATCTCTGAAATGTCTAATAGCTTTCAGCTAACAGAATTATAAGTTCTTAAATTGGATGAGATAATTGATAAGGTTGTTTTGAAGATTCTTAAATTTTGTTTTTCTAATAAGCGTGCCTTCCAAATAGTGATAAATAACATTTAGGGGGACAAAAGAAATTCCAAATTGAATATAAAAGCTAAATCATAATTTTTGTGCAGTTAAGAATTGACTTATATTATTCATAGTATGTTTTAAAGAAATTCTTTTTATGCTATTTACATTTGTTCAGTCTTGTTATCTTTATTGCCATATTCATGATGTTTTGATCATTGTATGCTCTGGCCTTCTTCAGGTGATAAACGTTGGAATTTTGAACTCTTTTAGTCCATGTGGGTAGATTGTTTTAGTTCCATGTTCCATGCCTTTTGATATGTTTCAGTTAATTCTCTTTGGTAAATAGAATATGTCATCTCGGAAATATAGGCAAAAAATTCTTTGCTTCTAAATTATAGAAGTAAATTTCTTTCTTCTTGTAGATGGTGTTATTGCTGCTGATTGTTGAAAATGTGTCTAATTTTAATTAAAATTTAATTAGTTAAAGAAAAGAAGGTAAGAAAATGCAATAAGAAAAAATAAATTTCATGTCAGAATCTTTGAAATGAGGAATTTCTTGTTTTTTCCATTTGGACTTGTATGCTCATCTTGATTGTTACGTGTTTTCTTGTTCTAACCGCCAGTCATTTTCTGAAAAATCTGATATTCTGGTTCTGTAAAAGAAACTCTCAAATGAACATAAAAACAACTAAGACCGAGTAATAACTGATATGAAATATCTGCTAAGCATGGAAAGTGGTGCCAACAATCTACCATGTTGATTAAATGAAATGAGTGGTTCAAAATTCTTTAAATGTTATCTTACAAGACACCTGAGACAGACTGACGAGACATTGGCTGAAACACGAGTGTACAACAAAGATGCAGATACTCAGGACATATCGGAGATGCTACCTGGTCTCAGTGAGAAAATGAAGGAAAGAGAAAAAGAAAGAAAGAAGGGAAGATAGAAATATTTAACAGCTGTTTCAGTGAAATGGAAAAAGTTGTCAATTTCAGATCTTTTCATTTGTACCCCCTTACTTCTTAAAATAACAACCAGCATTTATATTTATGATTGTTTTTGCAATATTTTGTTGTTAAGCTCAAATATTTAACGCGGCGATAGGGGAATTTCCATGGATATTTTGTTGTAGAACTCACTGTTAGTTTATTCAAGCATTAACTGAAAAATTAAGATTCATCAGAGATTTCAAATAGGATAACTGCCAAATTTTTATGGGTCTTTCTAGTAAATATAATTTTAACTTTGTCATGGGTTAAAAGAAGAAATAATAATAATGGCTACTAAGTAGTTTACAGTTGATAGGTCGAAATAGGTTGTTTTTAGAGGTAGCGATCTAGAAAAGATGGTTTTGTGGTGTGAAGGAAGCAGTTTTATTTTTATTTTCCTCTTTAATAACCTGCCTCTTATTCCCAGCTGATACGACCATACAGTTCAAACCTAAACATATCTTTTTAGATGCACCACACACATAATATGCCTTATGTTCATACCCTCTTTTTTTACTTCTACCCTCATCGCCCTGAAAACCCAAACTGTTACCCACCCCTTCTCAGGAATGCTTTTTTTTCTTATCATTCAAGATTCTTGACATTCTTAACTAGTACCTTACTAAGCAGACCGAGAAGTCCTCCTTTCTTATTAAAGCCAAACACATTTTGCACAGTTGATCAAGGTGGAGCTGCTGGTATACAAGTTCCTCTTTTCACCAACATTGCATAAATCTTCTAATAATTGGTATGATTGTATGTGGCTGAGAAGAAAAAAAAGGAGGAGTCATTAATGTGGCTGGAGGAGGTTTGGACTGTTCAGTGGACTTGACTGCATATTAGTCACTTACATCTAGTAGTAGCTAAGTTTTAAATCTTTAAACAGAAAGCTACATGATCTGAAATTGAAGAAGGTTCAAAGGTGGGCTCTAATGGTCAAATCAGGCTGAAAATGGCGGTTCTCATTTATTCACTGAAGTTAAGCAATATCAAGCCTAGCCAGTATGTAGATGGGGCAATATTTGGGATCACTGGTTAGCGAGCTCTTACAAACTGAAATGTTTCGGCTTTAAATGACTTACAAAGGGTTGACAAACTGTAAAAAAAAAACAAAAAAAAGAAACCTTCATTATTGCCATTAACCCTACTAATGCTCAAAGAATGATCGTTTCATTACTTATAATGGAAATATTATTTAATCTGGTTTAAAATAAATAAGAAATATAGTTTGTCTGAATTTTGGGGTTGAGGCATTATTATTTACCTGAAGACTATTGTCCTTATCTTTGTTGCTATCACAACGTTTCTTCCATTGTGCCCTCTGACTTTCATCAAGTGCTTGTTGATTCAGGTAACGTACAGGGAATTTTGAAATGTACCCTTTATTTAATTTATGGGTATAGAATGTTCTAGTTCCATTGTCTATGTCTAGGGATATCTCGTCCAGTTCTTATTTTTAATATTGCTCAGTTATTGCCCAAGTACACTGTGTAGTGTTGATTTTTACTTGGGCTTGCCTTGGTCTGTAAGTATCCACTTTGCAAAAAAAAAAAATATCAGTGTGCCCCAAATGATGTGAATTTCATTTTTCTTGAATAACTTTCAAATGAAGATTCTTTAACGATGTGAACTGAAACAAATCTGTTGTCGTTCATATGCATCACCACCTCCTTGCATTCCAAAGGTGGGAATTTGGTGTAGTGCGGAGGTCATTCCCTTAATGTAGTGGTTCCCAAAACTTTTTTTTCCTCTGGGCTGCATTTTCAGAATTAAAATTTGCTTGCACCTCACCAAATTTTTAAGTGATAAAAAATAGAGGGTTAAAGGGAGATAACTACAAATTCAAAGTCAGAACATTATCATTGATAACTCTGTCCTCCAATTTGTGGACCCTAGTTACTATATTCTTAATACTTGATATAATGCAAAAAATATCATAATGATAAAATCGGTCAATAATTATTTATAACTATTTATACTGGGACTCATGCATGCAATTACAAGTAATCCATAATCTCTATCTATAAAAGGCAGGATGTGTGTGTGTGTGTGTGTAACGAATGCACGGCTGCAATTTTCAATGGATTTGCACCAAAATTTACATGCACATGCTCCAAGTTAGCAGAAAGGCCAAGACCAACTTTGCATTTCCTGTGAAAATAATTGATTTTTTCATGATTCTACGGCAGTTTTCATGTAGTTTGCGGCCATTTTGTACTGGCCAGAGTGAGAGCCTATAGCTGGCTGCCACAAATAGGCAGGAAGATTCTATTGGCCAGCGTGAAAGCCAACAGCTGACTGACACGAATGTTAACTAGCATGCAAAAAAAATCGATAGCTGCATTCATCACAAGTGGGAAAAATTTAAATCTGCATGGCACTTTACTCCAATTGGCTCATTTGCTTGCTTAAACTCAACGTTGATTCTGATTCCGCAGAACTGGGTTAGTTGTGAAAAATTATTTGTTATTAACATTCTTTTTTCATTCGGTTTTTCCAGTTACGAGTCCTTTTTTAAAGCTGATCGTTTTGTGTTCATTTTGTTTAGTTCTTTTTTCGTAAGAGATTTAATGTTTAGTATAGAGCTTAGAAAAAAATTGTGAGATAGGCAAGAAGTAAGGCATATAGCAACATCAGCATGGCAAAGGGCACTCCTTTAAAGGCAAGGAAGGGCAAAAATATTTTAAGTCAAGTGATAGTGATTGCTGTATGAGTCGTACGATTTTTGAATCAAGCATGGGCAACGCCGGGTCATGCTGCTAGTATTTCATATTTTGAAATCATATATTTTTGGCATATGAATTTTTTGAAACAGTTTCTAAATCTTTGTATTTCAATCATTTCAACCATTCTGCCTCACCACTGCCTTAATGTTTACAGAACCCAGTGTTCCTGAGCAGCTCCCTATCTAAGTATTAACCAGGTTCAACCACTGCTTTACTTTATTGATCTTACAAAATTTAAGAATTAGAAAGGTCTCTCTAAAATATGTTGATCCTCAAACGTTGACCCATTTTTCCTGTAAATCATTTATTTTGCTATTAAAGGCTTGGTTATATTTAGAAGATGATCATACACAGACTTCTTTTTTTTCACTATGTTGTGACTCTGAAAACACAGATAAAATTGGGATAATGTTTTATAAGATAAATATAGAAAATTGCCAAAATGTCTGCTAACATTTGCATCATGTAACAAATTCTGCCTGTCAGGGGATAGATATCAGTCTGGGGTAGGCTAATGGAGGTGTACCACAGAAAATAGATAATAAACGAAAAATTTAAAAAATTTAAAAAGAAATCTTAATTTTTATAGGTTGTTAAAATCATGGCAGCTGATAACCAAAAGAACTTTCACCAACTGAGCATTGATATTTTATCAGGTTTTATGTGTTGAAAAAGCATTTGATTTTTTTACTGTGATTTAAAAAAAAACCCAAAAAACTGAAGTCTTGATGTATGTGTCCTTCAATAAAAATGCAACAACTGCCTTGGTTAATTAAAGACCAAATCAACAGTTACTTAAGTGGGTCAATCTAAATTTGCTACTGACATAAATTTAAATGTAGTTAAAAAATAGTGAGAAAAATGAATTCTCTTTTGCATGCTCTTTCTCTCTTTCGCATGGTCCTTCTCTCTCTTTCTCTCTCTCTCTCTCTCTGTGCCACATGTTATCTCTTATATATTTCTTTATTTTTAATCTTTTCTTTCCTTGTTAGCAACTAAACTTATTTGCTCTCTGTAATAGATTTACAGATCTCACTGTTTCCATTCCACTGCTCTGCCCCTGACAGGCCATATTTATATTCTTGAAAGGCTTTTTTGTTTATGCAGGCAAAATTAATATTCTTTCTCTTAGAAAGCATTACATATTTTAAATGAAACATGGCTTGTCATGGAAAATAATTAATTTCACTTGTATGTAACTTGATATTTGCTAAAACAGACAAGCCTTTAATAAAGTGCTTTTGGTACTTGTAAGTACAAATTAGTTTGGCAGATCTATTTAGCTGACTAAGTAGGTGGGACTAACTTAGGAAGTAATCTAAAGTAGAGGGCATTGTCTTTATCTGAAGAAAACTTCTCTGTGTAAGCTGAAACTTGTTATCTGCTACTTGTTAAATATATGTATATTTATCATTTCACCCCAATCAAAGCAAGAGTTTACTTAGAGGGCGAGAATATGAGGAAAAGAAAACATTAAGAGAACAATAAAAGAACAGGAATTAAGACAAAAGATAATGATTAGCATTATTTAAATTTTTGAAGATGTCTGGAAAGCAGTCGGCTAGAAGAGAGTCCCACAGGTGAGAAGTATGAGAGATGAAACTATTACTAGCATAGAACTTATGATTGCATCTAGCCATTTCAATTGTAAAATGATGAAACCTTGCCCCTAATCTAGTACTGTGCTTAAATTCATAAAGTCTAGATACAAATGAAGAAAGCTCATCAAAAGAATTACCATAAAAATATTTATAGAAAAAAGCATGGGGAAACTATGGTGATGGAGAAAGTGACTGAAGCCGAAATGTCAGGTCAGGGCCAATATTGTCAACATACTTTGACTTATGCTATTTTATTTGGACTATTCTTGTCTTGTTAGAGATGTTATAGTAGTGGCAACCAAATATTAAATCCATCTGACATTAGGTTGAAAGGATCCAAAAGGTAATTCATTAATATCTGTTTGGATGATGTTTGCTCAGTTGAATATTGCTCTTATGTTGTTGTCATGAGTTTAATCCTCGGATTGGGCATTGAAATAATGTACCCTAGTTCAGTAGGAACAAATAAGAAGTGGTACTGTAGAAGTTTGTGTCTTATTGGAAAAGCAATCCAGCTAATTTTACCTCCTTTATAGGAGAGTACCTAATTCACCAGTTAGGTTGGTCCATTTTGCTAAAATAGACCTACCCAACATATTTGCATGAATACCACCTCTATTCACCCATATATCTCTCCATTAAATGACTCTGATCAGTTTTTACTTGTGATTACACCAGTCTACTTGTGTGTCAGACCTCTTGTAAGCTAAGCAATATTCTACATGGTGCTGTGAACAGGATTCGAACCTGCATGTGCAATGCCCATTGGATTTCAAATCCAATGAGCATTGCCCGTGCATTTGCATCCCATGCATACCCTCCCCACAAAAAAAAAAAAAAAATGGTCACCTGTTGAAGGACAGAGGTACTTGGTCAAAATGTTCAGGCTATAACGTATAATAGTCAAGTAGAGCCAATAAAACATTTTGTTTTTTTTTTTATTTCGGTTTTCTGATAAATCACAATTCTTAATTTAATGATTGAAGCAGCTTATGGCAAATTCCGCGCCTATAAAATAGCCATGGAAATTTCCCTGTTTCATTGTTACATATTTTAGCTTAACAAAATATTACAATAACAGTCATAAGTATGTTTTGTCATAAATAGGAAAGGCTGACACACATATAGAAAATAAGTAGTTTATTCCGAAGAATAATATGGTACATATTCGAGAACACAGACTAATGCAATAAACAATTAATCGTTAACTCCTCAGTATTTACCTAATACATTTCCACAAAGTGGAATGTGGTACAAGGTTGTTTTTTTACATTGAGTATTCAGAGCCTATAGGCTCAAGCAAAAATTCACCACCAGGTAGAGAACAACCCGATTATTTAAAGAAGAGGGTGCAAATTTTCTAAGTGTTGACTTCTATATATATATATATATATATATATATATATATATATATTTATTTATTTATTTAAGTTATGAAGAATTTGGTAAACCGAATTGGTAAATCCAAGGCGGATGAAATCCTGAGAGCTCAATGTGAAGAACAGAGCTAATATTTAATGAAAAACAGACACTTTATGGTACCATTACAATAATTTATTTCACCAAAATCCTTTTTTTGACATTTTTCCTCTCATTTCATTGTTGGAAGTGTTACCTGATGATCTGAAATCCTTTAAAAAGGATTTTGGTGAAATAAATTATTGTAATGGTACCTTAAAGTGTCTGTTTTTCATTAAATATATATATATATATATATATAAAAACACTTTATTCAAATGGAATATAAACTAAATTTTTATTCCACTCTTTGATTGGCTGCCCTCCTGATATGGATTGCCAAGGGCATCTTACCTTTTGCCCCCACCACTACTCAAACCTGCCCATAAATATTGGCTCTCAAAGGTTTTGCTGTCTGTGGCCATTCTTGTTATTTGCGATGACGTCATACAGAGTATACATGGGGTGGGTCATGGCAGGTTGAACATTGAACAAAGATTATGGTACTGCCCCATGGGGGTGATGGAATGATACAAGGGAGATGGTTAGAAAAAAAGTGGACAGCCAGATGGTGGCAGTGGCCCATCTGAACCATAATATATATATATATTATATATTTATATATATTATATATATATTTATGCCCCTCTCGAACACACGCAGTAACTGAAGTGTGTCTTACCTTCCCTTCATTGTGTCTCCCATTTATATAACAATTATGAGGAAATACTAAGATACTCATTTGACATGCAATACGAGCACCAAGAAAATTTAAAGGTTGACTCTATATATTTGAGGGTTGGGGGCAATTCAACCCCCCCACAATTGGGAACCACTGGTTTATACCATGTAGTAGTAGTAAGAGCTACAATATCATCTAAATTTCACTGAAGCATTTATTATTTTGAAACTAGTTTTTAATTCATCTTTTTGTTTTCCATTGAAGCATTAAAGTCAATTATGTTCAGTGGATTTGGCAAAGTATCCGCTGGTTAGGTACCATTCTTATCGGATAACCTCTGGTCAGGTGCCATTTATATAAGATAGTCTCCCAGAGATATGAAATGTGTGCTCAAATTTTATTGTAGTCTTTGCTTTTTGGTTAAATTACAGTAATTGCTGAAGCTTTAAATATGTAACTTGAATTATTAAGATTTGATGTTACAAATCACATTGTTGGCTTCAAGTAAGAGAAAGCTGTGTTTCTCAATCTATCATTGGCTTAATCCTTTAATTTTATGGATACTTGAATCCTGTGGCTCAAACTTTCCTTTAAATCTTTCTCCTTCCCCTTACCACATAATCCCCCAATACAGATTATTTTGCCTTTAATTCTGAATCCATATTCTTTAGCAGGGTTGGTGGTTGCTTTTCAGTCTAATGTAGAAAATGATTTATTGCATTGGATATCAGCTCCTAGGAGGAGAAAAAAAAACGTCAAATTTTGTTGGCTTTTATTCAGAACTGCCACCCCCATCAGGAAATGGATCCCTTATATTTTTTTATATGTGCATTCAGTATTGTTTCCGAACTATCAGACTGACCGATTGAACAGAGTTGTGGGTACCTTTTCTTTTTCTTTTTCTTTTTCTTTCTTTTTTTTTCTTTTTTTTTTTGCTTTTCTTTTTCTTTTTCTTTTCTTTTTCTTTTTTTTTCTTGTAGGTTGTAAATAAAAATTCCAGCTGTGAAAATATAGGATAAGTTAAAATAGTGTCATCTGGTTCAAAGTCGATTTCTCTTTTATCCATGCCTCTGTGTTTGGCTATATTTTGCCTACAAAATTATAAGCAGTTATTTTCCGAACTATCTAAAAATAAATAAGAATAGAAAAGGTAAAATTTCATAAACAGTAAGTAAAAAGCAAGACAAGTGATCTCCAGAAGTACAAATACTAATACAGAAAAACTTCGGTAACTGGAAAAATTTGAAAGAAATAATAATTGTGAGTTAAATCATATTACTGAGATGAGGTATTATGTACATTATTTACATTATTCGGACTATTGTCCTCATCTTCGTCGCCATATTTATCACAACGTTTCGGCCGTTGTATGCTCCGGCCTTCTTCAGGTGGTTGGAATGTCGAACTGAACCCTCAAGGACACATGGCACAGTGGATAAAGGCGTTGGTTAGATCCAGTGACAGGACCCAAAGAGTGTGAGTTCAATACCCGGTTAAGGCAGAGGGAAATTAACAGGAGATAACTGATAACTGACATCCATCAAACATGGCACGTGGAACTAGAACAGTCTACCACAGCGAGCGAAATAAAGGGTTCAGTTCGACATTCCAACCACCTGAAGAAGGCCGGAGCATACAACGGCCGAAACGCTGTGATAAATATGGCGACAAAGATTCGAACAATAGTCCAAATAATGTAAATTATATTACTTTTAAGCAATATTTAGATATTAAGTTAAACTTATAATCCATTATTTATCTTTTTGACAGTTTGAAAAATGTCATGTCTTTTTGTCATATATTAATAGAATTTAAAATATGTAATAAATACTACCAAACTCCAATCCATAAAACGTTAAACCCTGCCAAAATTATAGACTTCTTGAAAGAATTAAACCTTTAAAAACTAATATAAAATAAATAGAGTAATAAGTAGGAATTTAAAAAAGGAATGGAAAAAATAGTTTTGGCATTAAATAACTCTTTCTGTTTGTCTGTCTGTTTTTATTACATCTTTGTTGTATTTTGGTTTCCCATTTCAGTTTTCTTTCAGGTATATTTTATTTTATTTACATTAAATATTATTAAAATTATATTTCTATATTACGTCTAGATATTTTATCAGAACTTTATTTTATATTTTATTTATTCTATATTCTTTATTCTATAGACATTGAGCATGATTTGTATATTTCAGACTTT